GAGTATTTTTATTCTCGCATGCTGTGACGGGGACAGCTGGTCGCGCTGATCGCCAGTCTGCCGACGTACTGCCGCTTTACGGACTTATCGTGACCTAGACTGTGCGTAGCCATCACCCACCTTTGGACTCAGTCGGCAGTCTCCGAAGATCGTACCGAAAGCAGTACACAAAGTTATAGATAGATAGATAGATAGATAGATAGATTTCAGCCTTCGTTTCTTTTCCTCAATTTTTCTGTTTTTTTTTGTTGCTAGAGAAATGAAAATGTTTTTGGGCCTCCATCATGCCACTTAAACTAAAGCATCTATCGTTAACGCGATTGTGCTCTTCCCTTCTCTTCCCTTGATTTTTTTCGGCCTGTTTTCGATGTTCCCTTCCGCGGCCCCTAGCCTCACTTAAACACGCCTTAAAATGGTCCTTAATAATCGGCCCTCGAAGTGTGAAATGAATGTGTTTAAATTGTGTGTAATCCGACTTTTTTCACTCTCCCGACTCCCATTTAAACAGTTTAAACGTACTTAAACACTCCTTTGACACACATCATGGCGTCTACACCGTTCAACTAATCGCAGGAAGATTTAATTGCTACTCGTATTACGATACCTCTTTGTTTAATCATTGGACATGGAGATGTTTATCCAATGGCACCCCTAGCAAGTCATATGGCACGAGCGCGCATCCAAGTCCACGGTACGGACAAGGTTTACTGCAAACGTTTAGCCGTCGTACGAACATGGTTCTAGTAGTAAGCAGAACCTTAAACCTTTATACAAGCTTCACGTTGACGCTCTCTTGATCTGTGATTGCGGCATTTACAGTGGAGTGGGGGTCGCAGAATCAGTTGACTCTTGAGAGAGCTCTTATCTCATAAAGGAGCTGAAATGGAACTTGGGAGTGCGCCACCCTCCGGGTCCGACAGTCGCTTCTCTTTCTAAGGGCCTTTTCTCGAAGCACCTTTCTATCTGACAGACTCCGTATGCCTCATGAAGCATACCATTCGCGTGTACGATGGTGTCCCGGTTATGTTCCTGGTTGTTTATAACCGAACAGAATAGACGAGAAGCAGAGGAGTAGGGACGTAATAGATTGCTACTCCAGTTCGAGACTCACGCGCAACGGGCCAGGCAGGCACAAATCCATGTGCACAGACGGGAGAACCAACACCAGCATGCTTGCCGGACCGTCGAGATATATTCCGTATAGCATATGTGCGTACGCAGAAGAAGCATCTTACCTGGCGGGTTTGTAGTGGGGTGAGAATCGAAATATCCCTTGTCCTCTTTAGGTAAAATTGAATTAAAGCTTGTCCCGTTTAAGGAGTGCGCCACTTCCCAGGGCCGACCTAGATCGGACAGCGCTGCGGGATGGTTTTGTTCTCTTCCGGTACGCTGTTAAATTCTCTTGCATTACATCAAACCTTATCTTGAGTCAATCACATTCTTTAGACCGTATGGCAGCATTTTTACGTCGAAGTTTGAAGGGGTATGGAAGTATGTAGTGTCTTAGACGCAATGTTCCTGCATGTAATCTAGTGTTCTGTCATTTGGCGTGTCAAAATACGTGCAGGTAAAACTCGTATTGTTCTCTGTTGAGCGAGATAAGCTTTTGGACCTACACGTCCAAGAGATACAAATCTCAGCCGATCCGGTGCCCGCCGCACAATCAGTTCCCTTTCTTCAGGCTGCGACACTGGTAAAGGTGCCGACTCCCTCGCTCCCGCTTGCCCATACCAAAGGAAGCCAGCGACGATCGCTTTCCCTTCAAACAATTTCCTTCCATAGTATTTCTTGCGTCGGCAGCGAAACTCCTCCGACTCGGAGGCGGGCCTAGACACCGCGTGCCTGTGATCCTAGATTGTGCCACAGTCATCGGATGACCTGGACAACTTATAATTGAATAACACCGATGGCACGTTGTTTAGACATTCAGAAGGAGGGAAGATCTAACGGGTAGCTGCGTGATTAGACAGGTAGTTGTACATAGAACGTCTGTCCTGATGAGGAACAAGGTTCAAATGCTCATCTTGAACGTTAGCGTTCGTCATTGGGTAGATTGGACAGGTACTCGGCTCGGTCCAGGTCCATGCAGATGCGAAGGGCTTCTTTTTCAGTGCTTGTGTATAATGAACAGGGCTAGATGGGAAGCAGAGTATATGGGATCTTATCGTTATCAACCGCCACACAAGGCGATTAGGGTCGAAAACCTTGTGCATGGAACTTCTATACTTGCGACGTCAAAGCCTCAATGTCCAAACTTTAGCCATTATCCAGCCTACGGGATCTTAGGAACTTCTGGGCAGGGCGACGATCTACAAGGTCCCGGAATGTAGGGCACTCTGGATCATTTTCTGGTAAAGTGAGGCGCGGTACACCCCACTTACCCGTCGGTCAGCTTTCCGCCCACCCTTGTTCCGTCATTGTCCAGGATAAATCCTTGGGAGGTTCTCGGGAAATGTGCATACCGGAGAGTAGGCTAGCGTTTTTTGGTCACTCGAGAATTGCGGGGGTGCGGCCCGCAGTGTAGCTGTGCCGAGAACGCCGAAACTGCTCCCACGCCCCTGAGTCAACGACTGGGCGTTGCATGTGGCGCGAGCGCCTATATCAAAGTCCCCAAAAATTGCAAAAATAAAATAAAAGTATTTCTATCCAGACGGTTGGCTTTTAAGGAGATTCGACAGGCGTTTAGAGTACGTGGTTGAAGGGTCCATGAAGAAGGGGAAATGCATTCGGGTACTGCTACACGAGAGAGGAAGAGTCCAAGACGTCCAGCACAACGACTCTGGGTATAGGATGTATAAGTGTAGGCTGTATGTAGTCCCGCACAAATTACTTTGACTTGGGTTTCGAACTTGAAGAGTCTCTTGTGTTCTGCAAAGAGAAAAGGTACAAAGAAGGAAGGACGAGGAATTGGCGGAAACGGAAAACGAGAGGATCACGAAGGGGGATAGAAGATAGATAGATGAACGATTGATGAAAGACAATAATGATAGATGAAGGATAATTGAAAAGGGAGTGAGATTGGAGTCCGTGCGGCCCGATAGAGATTTGAAAGGGGGATGTCGTAGGAGCGATGAGCGCGATCCTCATCCTTGTCATCTTCAGAGCCATTCAATGTCGTCGACTCCTCAAGACCGCCTGCAAATACGTAACATTTCTCCTGCAGTGCGGGTGCGAACAGAAAAGTCGAAGACTCGGACTGACGTCACAGTACGGATGATGTCATCGAGACGAGATGCTGTCAAACGACGGCGGCGATATACAATCGAGATGGGGGACCAGAGGAGAGGAAAGAGGTCGGCAAGGGCGATGTTGGGATATTGGGGAGAGAGAACGGTGCCGGCGGCGGCGTCGATTAGAGAGAGAGGATGCCACCCTCTAGTGAATAATTTCAGTTGGTAAACCGTCGATCAAAAGCTCTGTCCTGCCATTCCCCCACTTCTAACGGCAGTCTCCCATTCCTGCAGCGCCCTCACAAATCCGGAATTCGGCCTCACGCAGGCACGCCTGCGCCGTACGAAGGCGAGTGCGCTGTCGTAGGACATGGATTGATAGGCGATGAGGTAGGCGATGGTGATGGCCGCTGAGCGGGATACGCCCTAGAAGATGAGGCATTAGTAGGGTAATGTCAGACAGATGAGAAAAAGAAAGTAGAAAGAACACGGTAGTGTGGAGCCAGCCAATCGGGTTCGTAGGCGCCGGAAGCGGAAAGGGCTAACGTGTAGGCTCGCGGGGAGCGTCATCGTCTCTTGCTTCCTGCCCACGACCAGGACCAGTACGGTCGCTCTGTACTCTTACACTATCCCAAAAAATCCGCAAAAAAGCTCACCTGCTGACAGTGAACCAACACGCTCCTCCCCGTCCTCCTCACACCCTCGATATTCGCGCACACCGCCTCGAGGTAAGGCCTCAGATCAACACTGGTCTCGTCTCCAACCTCGATTTTATATACGCTAAATCCCTCGCGCTCGAGGTGAAATGTCGGCGCCCACGGAGCATCGAGCACGCTGACTATGTGTGAGACGCCTTGGGAGCGCAGAAGGGGTGCGTCTTGGGCTGCAGCGAGGGAGCCGAGGTAGAGGCCTCCGAGGCGGGAGTGGTGCGAGTTAGATGAAGGCGGAAGGATTTGGTGCATTGGGGTGCACATTGCTTGCATGACCTCGGGTGGGATGTTGTCGAAGCGGATCATCTTGGCGGACGGTACGTCGATTTTGATTTTTTGCTTGTGGATAGACGAGTGGTGAGTAAATCGTCCGACAGATATCTGGAGCGGTGGGAGAGACCGAGCGAGCGCTCTTGGATTCTTGAACTATGCGGACGATAGAGAAACCACGCGTTTACTAGTGGTATAGCTGAGGCGCGTGGAGCAGGCGTTATTCGTATAGGGAAAACAAGATCAGCAGGGGTCTATGGGATGGTCAGCCTAACCGATGTCCGCAGTGATGGTGGTGATTACGCACGTTCACCTTGCTGAAAGCCTCGCTTTCTGCCTTCAATTGAAGCTGAATCGAGCTGCGGTTGTGGGCGCTCGACGATAACCCTTCCCCGGCCACAGGCCCTCTTTATACCCCATTCCAGATCCTGCACGCTCGTATGTGTCGAGTCTCGATAAGGCAAGTCGTTGTACTCATACCCCGATTTTCTCGCCCCTCGCTTACCTTCAATCCAGGCCGACAGACTATCTTGGACAAGCTTAGAGTTACGCGAGCGCTCGTATGGCTATTCGCAGTTCGTGGCTGAGGGCCACATCTCGAATTTCTCTGTCATGTCAACGTCAGTAAAGAGGCGGCACGGATCTGTCCAGGTTCCCCCTTTTCCAAGCTCATCATCTTCCTCAGGTCCCTGATTCCTATGTTCTGGCATAGGATCACGTTTCTGAGCATGGCATTTGACATACAGAAAGTGATCGATCGACAGCTTTACGATCTCCTGGTAGAGAAGAGATTGGCTGAGATTGGCCAGGCAGGAAATGGGTTAGGTCTAGACCATACCTTTATTCCGCCTCAATAGTCACTTTTTCTTCGACTCTTTCTGTTACGAATAGCCACATTCTCGCCCCCGACCCTGTTCGAACCGCCTATCTGGCCCACTGCTCTCTTGTTGGCAGATCGACGGCTGTCGATGTTCTTTTCACATCGGCGCCGACCCGGGGCTTGTTAGCGTCAGTCAGTGGTCAGGGTTCCTTAAACTTCTTTCCATCCCGGTCGTCCTTCTCTGACCTGGAAGAACGGGATGAGATGGAAGAGGGAGGGAGAAATGTTATCAGGCGGTTATCTGATAACCTGTACTGTCCAGCGTTATCTCCACTCGCAGATCTAGCTTATGTACGAATCCCTCTACTCATGTTTCCCGGCCTTCTGCGGCCCGGAACGTGAGGTCAACGCGTACGTCTCGTCTTCCATCCTGCCAGAGTACTTACTGACAAGATTCGTCCATGCGAGTTCTACTCCTACCTGCCCAACGCGCCTCCGAACCCAATAGCGTTTCTGAGTCATCATCAAACCACCAGGGTCGCGAATCCGAAACCGATAATTGATCGCCTGTTAATCGCACCTGCGCCAATTAGCCACATAAGGAACAAAGCCCATCGAAAGCTAGTCGAAACCGAGGACGATGAGAGGTTGAAGATGATGAAAGAATGGGAGGCCGAAATTTGGAATGTATGGAACGTCCCTGTCATTTCGAAGGCGGACGGGATCCTCACAGAATGTCAGAACGTTCCGCTCAGTTCTTTCCGTGCCCGAATCTTTTACTTGGGAACAAAAGATCATGAGTCGGAAAGCAGGCGATCATAGATACTCGTTCGACAAAACCTGGACGTGGGGCGTACATTTCTCGGATATATGAAAAATATTGGCCGTTCCGCCTTCCGTTGTTCGTGCCGAACGTTAGCCATCGGGACCCTGTGGAGACTACTCTCTCCTTGTCTTCTCCGTTCATTGACGATTCGTTATTTAACACACACACCGAGGAACCTGAATTAAATACGTCAATGACGGAAAGGGCAGGAATGAGGCACATGAGTATGATGTGCGTCAGACCGGCGTCATACCCCTGCCAGCGCCTAATCTGAGGATGCTTGACAGGCAGCTAGGAAAGTTTTGGCTGTCTGGTTGCGGCTGTCTTGGTGGATACTGACGGCGCTTAATCATCGTGCGTGCGGGGAAGGCCCAAATTCACGCTCACCAGAGGGGACGCGTATAGATGAGGAGATCATAAGTAGAAGCGCAGTTCCATCACAGGATTTACTCATTCTCGCGTTGTATACGGGTATGGCCTGGGTTTTCATTTTCGGCGTCTTTTTATGTGCCTTGGCACCGAAGATCTTACTAAATTTTGAACCGTTCAAACCTAGGCACGACGACTCCGAGCTGCTTGATTATCTTGGCCTCGAGGACCAATTTCCAGAGATCACGATCATTAATCCGCGCCAACATGTTCGGACGACGGTGTGGAGTGGCGGTGGGGATGAATAAACACTCCAGGAGATGCTCAGGTCCATTTATGGTACGGCTTACCTGCGCTTCGTACGAGAACGATGGGATCTGGGAATGGAATGGGATTGAACGTGCACATACATAAGACTTATGGCGTTTCATATTGTGCAAGTGTCGGACTTGCGCGTGATGCGATGATGCGTCGGTAATTGATCCGGAGTGTTCTCCCGGATCAGAATTGATGTCGAGTCGAGGCTGCCCGCCTTCGCTGCGCCTCAAACTCGAACGTTTCTCATAGTTCACCCTTTCAGCTTCTGTGGAGTAGGTATTTGATTTTTGAATCCTCTTGCATCCTATTGGGCGACCTCTGGTTGATAGATGGTCGATATTCACAGCCCACTCTAGGCCGACTCGGAGGCCCAAGCCGTTCCACCTAATGTCCCTCCCTGATCCGGTCGGAGGGTGTGCTGGGTTGTCCGACGTTCCGCTGTCCTTCTAGACTAGTTCCTGAGCCAATGATAAATAGTTTCTTGACGTGGGAAACTCGATTGTTATTGGATGCAAGCAGCAAGGTCGAAGAGAGAAACGACCTTTCTCGCCCAATGCATCAGAACAGATTACACATATATTTAACAATGCGAAGACCACTTGAAGTACAAGGCCAAAATTGCGAGCCGTGTATTCTAAGACCGAATTTTTAACTCCAACATGATGGCCTTCGGGTACCCAGGCGTTCGGCGGCTCGTGGAGTGGGTTGGAGAAAAGATCCCTCGGCTCGAGTCTTGTTCTCGTGCTTCTAGTCTTGTTCCTGGGCCAATGTTCGACAGTTCATCGAAAGACTGGATGAGCTCAATGGGATATCTGATTGTGAATTGACGACGGGCAGAGAAAAGTGACGGAGGAAAGGGATTTAAAAGGGAGATATACCAGAGGTTCATTTTTTGCCCCACCCTCGGATTATAAGATGGTATCTTTAATAATGCAGTCGCTAGCTCGAGGATAAGATGAATCGACCACGAGAATGAGAAGCATGACAATTGACGTCTGCCTATCTCAAACCTGAGCTTCGAGCGTAAGGCCATGATACTCAGTACCCACGTGTTCGGCAGCGGCTCCTGAAGTGGGTTAGGGAAAATGCTGTATGAGGCTCTCGGGGTGAGCCTCGTCCTCGTAGCTCACGTGGTATTAAGTAACTTCCATTCTCGGAACCCATCTCGGGAGAAACTCTTCTCGTACTTTGGGTTTCTTCTTCCTCACCCGCAGCACGAAGTACGACGTAGCCTTGAGTAATAAAGTCGCCCGGGCTCACGCTGGATTTGCCATCGTTTTTCCGATCATGGGGTCCTCCTTTTCTTGACGTAGGTGCCATACCTATACGTATGTTTATCCGTTGACGTGCGATGTAACGCACTTTCCAGTTGGAAGGGAAGCGTGAAATTATGTGCTTGTTCTGCATGATGTGTTGACGAGCGGCAGCCTCGTCATATCTCAAGATGTATATTTTAGCGGATGTGAGGGAGGAGGTCCAGCGTGTTATTACCAACGTGATGGGAAGGACGTCGCTGTGGAGCGGGAGGGACCCTAATTTTCCCGACTCACCTCCTACTAAGACTCTGCCCGGAAAAGAAATAAAATGTATAAGAGTCAAACAGAAAATAAATGACTTGCATTGAAATGCGAATGGAACCCTTGAAGGTGCAAAATAAATTCTTCTGCGTCCCATAAGCGTGAGAGCGGTATATCAGGCATTTGAACCTGAGAGATAAGAACGGTCAGTGCTTCTCCTGGTGTAAAACCTTGCAAAGGAAATGCAAGGAAGAAATACAACTATTCTTCCCCTGCCCTTCTTTCAACAGTTCCCACCTTGTTCTCTCCCAAGGATGTTGCTCTGGAATTCACATCGATACATCACTAGTTACATGTGGCATAAGTGCACTAGTAGCCATGAATCCCGCTGAAGTGTCCTAAAATGTGAATGTGTTTTCGCTAAATTCCGAAGTAAGATCAGCGATGATCCGTCCCATTCAAACAATTCCCTTCCATGGTATTTTACACGTCGGGTAAGAACTTACTCCGGTTCGGAAGCGGGCCTAGGCAAAGAGCCCTCAGATGTAGCCGGGACGATTCAATGGACTAAATGAAATCCCCCACGAAGGTTCGTGGAGCATTTACTGAGACATAAGAGGCAATAAAACAAGAGTTTAACGTTTAAAAGCAGATGCTCACGTGTCTTCCAGTTCGTCGTGAACTACTAGTACCCCCATCGCTCTGCCGATGAGAGTCGCCTTCAGTTGCACGTCGTTGTCGGCAGTGCGGAAGCCGCCAGCTCATTGCACTTTCGTCGAATAGAAAATCTCAGCCTGTCTTGACGCAGGAAACTGAGAGCGTTCCACTTCCTCAGCGTCGATTTCGGCTCGGGATCAAATGATACAGCGACTCCGAAATCTGGCAACGCTAAGACCTAGTGAGTCACCGAGTTATGCTCCTCCTATCAGCGCAGTCGAGTGGCTGGAGGGGTCGGGGTGGCCCAACAACGAGATCGCCTAAGAATTCAAACAGGCGTCGCACAGGCATGGCGGCAATGAAAAGACGAACGACGGCGTAAACGAGTCGCATGAGTGATGACTTGACGAAGCAGGAGAGACTCGCGTTCATACTCCAGAGCATGCATGAAGCCAAAACATCGCGCGGAAGACTTTGATTCGAGTTGTAATTGCTGTCAGGAAAGGATCGGATTTGCTCCTGGGTAGGTGCGATTACAGAAAGGAAGGGTGTTAGTAAAATGACACAGTAGCCAAGTAGAATCCCAACCTGCGCTGCAAGAGAAGAGAACTGTCTAGGAAAATCTAGCTGACCATCAAGGTAAAGAGAGAGTCAGGCACTATTCAGAGATGTGCTTCCATTATCGGGCGTAACGCAAGACTCAGAGCAGCATCATAAGTCGAAGACTTCACGCTTTTGTCGTCTGTCACAATCCAGCGATCATCAATGCACAGAAAAGGAGATGGATAAGTACAGATAAAAATACAAATACTTGTCACAGAGAGTATAAGATAGCGACGATACCATGGACGAGGCAAACAGATAGCTGAGGACCGCCACGAGTCAGGATCAGGGGATTCTGTATCCGGAAGGGGGTGCTCACCTATTCAACAGTGTTCTTACATGATTGTTGCTTGTCGTACTGACGCTGACTGCTCGATGGCTAGCCGTAGCAGAGGATTTCCTCTTGGTGCCACTTTCTTCTTCGTCCTCTTCTCCTGCTTTCTCATCGCAACAACCTTTCGAGCATATCAAATAAAGTCAGTGGTAATCGAAAGACAGGAAATGGCACTCACGAGTTCACCGAGGAAAATGGTTGACATGACACGCTCCTGACGCTCGACGTCGTTCAAGTCAAAGTCGGGCTGGAACGCCACGTTTCGTAACATGCTTGACATCAGCATTTCTTGCTTCTGTAGGTCTAAGGACCTCCAATACACCATGAAAGGCCGGTCATGAGATCTAACACTTCTTGTGAGATCAGCAAGGGAAAGCCAATCATGACAGCGTACACCTGGTTGAGCTCTTCGATCTGGCGGCAAGCGGCTTCCCGGAAGAGTTGGTAATATATGAGCTTGTATGCCGTACTATTCCTGTCCATGGCATCGAAAGAGGATTTGTCGATTTGAGGGACGTCTGCATTCGTTGGGGAGGCCATGATGGTGGTTGCGGTGGACAAGACGTGGTGGCTGTGCGATTTGTTGTTGGTCACAACTTTCCCGCGCTTGCCCAGTTCGAGGAGAAAGCGCTCTTGATGCATATTACAGGGTTTAAAGAAAGAATCACGATGTTCACGGAAATATGCAAAACACTGTAAATGATTGGATTATTGAATTAAAACAACATGACATATGCATTGTTCATCGACATCCTTGTAAATATATTCCGTCTCATACGCGTCGGAATCTACCTCGACCCATGGACTGGAAGGAAGAAAAGCACGCCAGCCGCACTTAAGCTGGCCGTCAGTAGAATTTCCCTTGAGCTTGGATGTGGAAGACTGTTGCATTTGTCATCTTCGGTACAACATGACCAATAAGACCTTGATCTCCACCGTCGTCACTCTCCGAGTCGTCAGATCCATCGGAAGCAGGAGGACTTTCATCGGAGGTGTGCGGCGATTGGCCCGAGTTCATGCGGTAAATCTAGTGAATTTCTTATAATCCACCATCCACTTAAACTTGCAAATGAGCACCTACGATTTCATCTTGTAAGGCGGTCTTGTAGAGCGCAACAAGGTCGCGAAAGTGCTGCTGATATTCTGAGGAGCCTACGACCCCTATCGGATTCCATTGTCGCTCTACGATATCCCGTGCTCTTGCTGAGAGTTGACGCTTCATGACAATGTTCGAACCCCGCCATCTCCTGGCAGGGTCGTCGTGTTCAAGCTGCCAGTATCTAATTTAGAATCACCCAAGCTAAATGAGCATGGAAGGTCGGTACAGACGTATCTTCGAGCTCGTTATGGATGATGGTCATTGACTGATGAACCAGGGTTGTCTTCAACTGCATGTCATTATTGGAGGTGGTGGTAGTCATGGGTGATTTTGTGAGAGAGATTATCGCCTCGCGAAGGGCTCCATTTATATTCCAGAAGGTCGCCACGACATCGATTAAAAAGGATAACGATGGCGGCCACCGACACGAGTGGCTCACCTCACCATGCAGGGTCGCCAAGAATGTCTACTGCCCTTCACTTAGTCGAAGTAGGTGGAAAGCGCACACCGTTAATAGGCTGTGCGGGGATTACCTGGGCGAGGGTCAAAGCTTTCGATGAGGGAGGTTTTAGACTGCGAGATTCTTCGCTCGCCTGCATAGACGAGACAGGGATTTATTGTAGCTTCATGATTTTTGCGACGTCGTGAATGTCAGGGGTTGATATTATTGGAAGGAGACGGGGACAGCACCTACAGCATAACGGACGCCATGACCATACGCGTTTAATGTCCCCAGCCCCAAGGAAGGAAGATAGTCCAAGAACTGGAAATAGTCTGTGAAAATGTTTCGTGTCTGGATCGTTCGTTCACCTTAGATTTACGGAGGACATAAGATAGAGATGAGAGTCCGATGGCAGATCTGAAAGGGAGGCGGAAGCTAAGAGACTATAAAGAGAGTATTCTGACCAATAATATGCACCCACGATACGGTATTATATGATCGGTGTGCGATGTAGGGAAGCGTACTGCTCAACAGCGCGCCGCAGTCCCGTTTGCATGGGTCATTATTTTTCTTCTCCAACTCTTTCGTCAGCGCTCGGCAGAGAAGCAGTGCTCCGTTGAAGGTCAGTAAACTATCCTTGCCCCACGTAGACGTTAGAACTTACAATTTCGCAGATGACAATGGAGTCTATCACCGCATTCTGACGCTCGATGTCATTCAAGTCTGGCTCCGGCGTGAAGGCGACATTCGTAGCATGTTTGAGATGAGGAACTGCTGCTTCAGTTCTGCCAATCGTCGTCATCAGGCCATCGCCGGAACCCGGGTCGTCGAGAGATCTGGCGCCTAGAGGGGGGTTATCTAATTAACGAGAGAAGTCAAGGAACATTCACGACCTACGTTCGATTTAAGATCTCTTGCACACAGCGCAATTCTTGTCCCATATATTACGATGTCACGTCGGTGTGCATTCTTGCTGAGGAACTAGACTGATGATAGATTCTTTCGATGACCAGGTATTCCGGTTAATAGAATTCGGGACTTGTCGGCACTATCATTTGGGCGAGGACAACGAAGAGTCTGAGCTCAGGCTGCCATTTTAATTTTCGGGATCCGCTGATCGCTTGGAACGTTGCCAAGACCTACTTACACCGACAGTGAGTGGCGAAAGATGTCTCTCTTCACTCTCCTTTTCACTTGATTTATAAGAAGGACTTTAACTACATAACTCTATTAAATGAGGAAGATTATACCTTGAGTAAGTAAGAATTATTGGATTCCAATAGAAACCTGAACTGACTTATTAAGGAAGTCCCCAGTACGAATTCATCAAGCATTTCTATCCAGATGCCATAGACCACATCCCCTTTCATGTTTTTTATATCTGAAAAATAAAATAACCCTTATATCGCTCGTACATGATGCTGTGCGCTTTCTTGGTCTCCTCCTGACTTGGTCTCTTCATCCAGTCCTTTCTTGGTTGACTCGCAGTCGTAACAATTATAATGCTTCGTCATTCCTTTATTAGGATTCCGTCGGTATTAATTATCCATCTCGCTTGGACCTGCATCGGACTACCGAATATAGAATTCGCACCGTCGAATTTTCCGACGCTTTGTATCCATCGAAACCACGTCTTGGGTATTTAAGCGCCGATAACTCTCCATGAAACTTCGGAGTCCCCTGCTTCTCCCACCTTCCATCTCCCGCCCTCTCCTCTTGAGATCCTCGGCTATACCACGTCGCCATGGTTAACTTCTTGAAGTACGTTCGCGCCCTCTTCAAGAAGAACCCGAAGCGCCTTCGACCCGAGACTATCTCCAGCTGGTGCTCTCCTGGATCCACCATTCCCGACGTGGTTAGACAAGACGATTTTGCGGAGAAGGCCTACTCACCTTCTGGAATGCACCTTTATGGTTCAGCTGCGACAGTGACTCAAGTCCCTTACCCACCATCCGCTCCGCGGAGCGCGGCATCGCAAGCACGCTCTGTACAACCATCTCAGCGCCTTCCAACTATCACCTCGCAGTACACTAGGTCTGCTGGTGCGCCTTCTGTTCGAAGCGGACATTCCAAGCACGATAGAATTAGAGCTATTCCACCAGCCTCTAATCGTGGTTGGGCAGCGCAGACGCCAGCTGCCTATAGGTCTGCGGGCGCCCTTTATGCTTCTCCTCCCGTCCCAGCTGGATATCCATCACAGCCTTCGTACATTGCAGCTCAAACTGGCTACAGGTTATACAATGCGCCCTGTGCACAGCCGCGGTACAACCCGTATGGCTCTGTCGCTACGGCGCCCAGTTTACCTCTAGCCCAGAGAGGCCTAATTCAGACATCTTCGACGAAGAGGGATCCTCGACCGACCCCAGCGCCTGTGTACTACCAGGGAGTCGCCCCTAGCACCCGTGGTCATCCGGCACCTACACCAGCCTCCCAGCAGGGCCAAGCACCTGGTGTCTTTCTGACGCTGAACAATTGTCCGAACACGATGGTAATTGTTCACCCGCCTGCACGCCAGGGTCCGAGCCCTCCCTTTTGATTCTGAGCTCCCCTCTTTGTTTTCCTCCGATGAATTATCTACTCTCACGCCCAGTATAATGTCTTCTGAACGCCTTTCACGAAACTTACACTCTAGACGAACATACATCTACGATCCTATTTTGCGATCATGTCTCTACACACCTCCTTTCGGCTCTTCGCCGCTGTAGCATATTTTTCCTCCGTACATACTGTTACGAATATAATGATTTATGACCACCCGAGCTGCACCCGACAGATTTCAGCACTCTCTACGGCGCCAATTTTACATCAAATTGGTCCTAACGACCATTCCCTTCCGAGCCCTTTTTGGTCCATCTCCTAACATATGACGACTAAAACATCCGACATCAACAAGTGATCGACACGGCGATATCCGCGCCTGGACCCTGTGTTCAAATTGCAATAATGGTTGACGTCGTCCTCCTCCAAACTCCAACCAGCGTCAAGAGTATCCTGTGAGTACACAGCGCCGAACTTCGAGCGTCTTTCCAGTGTGGTTAAGTCCTGAAAATTGGCGTCAAGGTCCCTGTCACATGAACGAAGATCTGAATCATCCGGGACTTCGTAACCACCCACGCGGACAGATTTCTCCGACTTCCTACTTCTTCTCCTCTTTATAAGTGCTGCGGTCGGGGGCGGATCCAGGCGGCACCACCATTCCCACCACCATGAAGACCTTCCTCACCCTCACCCTCCTTTCTGCGTCGACGGTGGTTCTAGCAGAGCGCTTGGCCACCATCGTCAACCGCTGCCCACAGACAATCTCTGTCTTCATCAACGGGCAGACCCAAGGCCTCCTTGCGCCGAATGAAGCGACGAACAGGACATACGAGGACACATGGGCGGGGCTAATTTACTCTACGACGAACGAGGGGAGCGCAAACGGGGCGGGGACGACGAGAGCAGGGTTCTATGGCCAGGTGCGTTGGTTCCCATATGATTCCATGAGCCTCGAGAGCCGACATCGCAGCAGACGAACTACTACTACCTCATCCGCGATCCTAGCAACTTCAACACGGGCGTCAGCATCGTGCCCAGGGTCATCTCATCGGTGCGGCGAACCCTACCCTCTCAACAAACGACGTTTTAATTCCAGCATTCCAGCTCACTGGAGGCTTCTGTGCGACGTCCCTATGCGACAGCATCTCCTGTACGTCGACGTACGACAGCCCTCCGAGCACCTTCCCTGCTCCGTCAGGGACTGCGCCTGCACCTCCGCTCTTCGAGTGCCCAGGAACGGACGTTGGGTACACGATTACGTGAGTGCCGCCAAAACCGCCTAATCTATAGGGTGTCCTGATTCTAGCTACCGCCAGCTTCTGCCCCGAGAGGACATTCCCGCCACCGAGCGGATATGTAACCATTCATCCAACTGGGTCAAATGACAAGTGCTTGGACGTGCGAGGAGCCTCGTTTAGGAATGGAACGACGGTTCAGATGTACGTCGCTATTTTTGGGCCTTCTGTTCTTAGTGCTGAGAGACGGACAGATACGACTGTAACGGAACGGCGGCGCAACGATGGCTGATCACCAAGAGCGACAGTTCCGGCACTCGAGTCCAACTCGCTGGCACCCCTTTCTGCTTAGACGCAGGAAGTAACCCTTCTAGTGGCACGACAATAAAGATATGGGAGTGTATCGACGGCCTAGCTGCACAGGCGTGGCAATATAACGACGCAAATCAAATCAAGTTCACGAGTAAAAGTGCGTTTTTCTCTTCTACCGCGGCTCTTCAGGGCCTGATGTGACCGGTATCTAGACCAGTGCCTCGATCTGACCGACGGGTCGTTGGCGAATGGCAACAGGATCCAGAGCTGGACGTGCCAGTCCACTACATCGCGGAATCAGCTGTGGGTCACATCATGAGTAGATGGATGAAAATGTTACGAGGACGAGGACTAACTTTATGTTGTAATGTTGTGTACTAACGCTTTTTGTTTTCTCAATACGAGATGTAATTGGAACGCGATGCTGAGATCTAGAAGAAAAGCTGCCCCGGATCGAAGTTTAGTGGAATGATCCACTAGGCTTCGAGGTGAAATGCCTGCCAGGACGGCATTTTTTATGCTCTCCTTATGCCTCTACTTTTGGGCATGTGCTACTTCTTATACTTGTCACCACCTCTTTTGGCTACTGGCAACGAGGCCCCTTCGCCGATCGAGTACTGTCATTGCCTAAAATAGGCATTGGCTACACAAATTGTCACGAACGACTCTCCGCAGAGCTATATAAACGCTCGTGGAGCACCGCCGTTACCTGGGTCCTGTGAGCACGCTTCTCCCAACCTACCTGCACCCGCTTCGTGGACTTCACCGTCGCTACTCCCTTCTTCCCTGCCGCTTCCTATCTTCCAAGACGATATATTCTATCGCTATGGATAGACGCTTCAAGTTATTCAAGTCCAAGAAGCAACGAGGGAAGAAACGCATCTTCGGCAATGATCTGCCACTGATATCGGTCCCTCCTTTCTCCCCGGCGTTGTCCTTCCACGACCTCGACTTATATGAAGCCCTCGCGCTTTCTCCTTTGGATCACGACTTCGATTTGTCCACTCCACACACGCCATTACCCAGCTATTCCGAGTGTCTACCCTCATGCCACACCTCGATTCACCAGTTCCATAACTTCCTGTCCTCCCACTCCCTTCATGCCATTTCACCCGCCGAGGCCTTACCTCCGACCCCGTATTTGAACGTTTACTCAGGAGGGTTGCCTTACATGACGACGTATAATCCGAGTCCCACAAGAGGCTACACCCATCATGAAGGAGGATACTTCGCCGCTGGCGCTACTCATCTCGGCGTTCAGGGCGTTCGTCATGAGGGGCTTCCTTGCCCGTGTTGCGGCACACAGGCCGTCGTCCTTTTTCCGGGATCGAATGCCGCCTTCTTCATCTGACGCATTCGCACGTATGAATTATCAAACTCAGGTCCTGGATTCCTCTCTCCTTTTCCCCTGCCCTTCGACCATTTCCGCGTCTCCCTGCGTCCTTACTTGATTCTCTCCAAATGCATGTGCAATACCTTGAAGCTGTTTGCTTTACAATAACGACGATAGATTATGTCAAAAGAGCGGTACCTGCGTATACAACACAACTGAAGATAAGCATTACAACTTGACTCCAGAAGAGATGTTGGTGGCAGAGTGTTGTTGATTGGGGGTGTACTCTATTATAGCGTATGCTATTCCCCGAAAAGCATCTAGAAGGTCTCGAGAAATGGGAAAGAGATGAGCTGCAAGTCCAGCGCTCATGCTGCAGGCACAATGTCCTTACTCATTGGACGCCAGGGGAGCAGTCCTCTCTGTTGGACCGTAGGATTGAGGGAGGACGAGGGTGATGGTAGTAAAAAGTTGAATACATCAACATCTTACTATACTTACGTGACGGTTGTGGCAGTTGACGGGATAGCCGGGCCGCGTCATGGCGTGGGACACAATAACGTACTGTAGATGACCGGCATCTCGGTCACTCTACAGTCTCCTAAAATTTGCGTGCTTGGTTTGGGGGTGTCAAAAAAACTAACAGTACTACTCAATAGGCAAGCATCTGAAGTACTTGTGTACCAATTATCAGAAATTTAAGGGAGGGTTTGAGACCTCCACAAATATTTTATTTCGATAGGTCAAAATCGGTCAAAACCAGGAAGTCGGCCAGGCCCCAAGACTAGACCGATTTGTATTGGTCCCGTACACCGGTTGTAACCAGGGTCAGTTATGCTTAGTAAGCTGATGATAAGATAACCTCAGAATATGAGGACAGTACTCGGCCACCTTGAATTACTCTTCAAAGTTGGTCTGACCTTAACGAAAAAATGCTTCCAGTGAAAGTTAGACACCTCTGTCATATTCTGGTCTTCTTATTTTGTGATTTCTGATGTTTTCCTTTCAGTTATTTAATTTGACATTTCTCATCACTCAAAACAAGAATTTTCAATTGCTTGGTGTCTTATGTTCGGAAGAAATTTGTAAAAATTGAGGGGTCTTCTTTCATGCACACATATTCGCCTCAAAATTCATTTCACCTCTTTGTTTACACAATGGATGCTTTATACTAAGAGAAATCAGCAGGAACAGTCCAATCCACCTCCAAAATGACACACTCTCCAATTTTCAAGGTTGGAAGTGCAGCAATCCTTCAATATAAGAGAAACTTGCTTAATTATACAGTAGTCACTATGAAATTCTTAAGTCCGAAGTATCTTCCTGGCAGTGTGTCATGTCATCGAGAAAAGCCCTCCGGGACCACCAGAAACACGGTATCAAATAAGGAAATTGGGCGTCACACGTCACCAGACACAAAGGGAGGCTCATTTCTCCGCGAGGAATGGTGCTCTGTCCGCCAAAAAATGCAGTTACATTGCTATGATACTATTATACATGAGTGCACAAAAAGAATGGAGTGAAACGAGCAACTGTGCCATCTACAAAGGCAATGACCGAGTAGCTGGTGTGACCGAGTGACCGGTTACGTACAGTAAGTCAAGTTCCCTCGCGGTACAACACGTCGTCTTCCACAGAAGTCACACATCCCCTCTTGTCAGCGAGCATCCCGCTTCCCTCGTAACGGCCGGCTTGAGTGGAACGGTGATCAAGCTGCTTCCTCGCCCTCGCCTCCGCCTGCTCCTCGATAATAGATGCCCGGTCAAGGGTGTCAAGTACTTGGGGGCCTGTGAATTGCTTTGACATCCTGACACCTTTTAAGTCTGCGTTTTGCTGCCACCAACATCAACATACCGCCACGGAGACCATCTTGTGTTCAACTTTTCTCTCCGCAAACCGTTATCCGCCTTGAGGTGAGTCAATCTCTTGATTCAAGCAGGGTCCGAAATTTACCGACGCCAGGACAAAAGATGGCCATTATACAAGACCTCCCTGTGGAGCTTCTGTCACGTATATTTCTATTCCTATATTTTAACAGCAGCCGGGATCTCTTCCCATGGCTCTCTTCTTCTTCGGACAAATCCTGGGAGACGAAGTGGATAGAATCAGACATACGTAGTCCGACCCTCTTCCCCTATGCACCGGCGAGGGTGTGTCGACATTGGCGCAATGTTCTCTCAGGGTTTTCTCGCAACTGGGAAAGGGTGGTATTTGACCTTCGCGTTGATCCAACCCCTATGCTTGACACCTTCCTCTGGTCGAAAGATTTTCCCCTTCAGGTGTGCGTCTTCAACTCGACCTCGCTGTCGGACCAAGCACACGATACCCACGAGTCCCAACTTCAAGCAGCGACTTTGGAGTACACTAGAGTTCAAACTCTACTAGCGGCATTGACGCCTCACATCAAGCGATGCAAGTTGTTGCATTTCGAGCTGCTCTACCCCACTTCCCTCCCACCTGCCGCCTTCTTTCTCCAACGTCTGCCCAATCTTAAAGAGTTGACTCTTCTCTCGGGAAGGGGTATCCCTCCTCCGCCTTTTGTTGTTGGATTTGGTAACCCGTGGACTATTGGCAACCCCATACAACCTGTCGCCAGCCGGCCCAGCCTTTGCTGGCTGAATTGTCTCGCATTCGACGCATTTACATTTATGTGTTTGGCAAGAGCCTTCAAAGGATTATGGTCAGAAATATGCTACCGTGACAGGCATCTTAGGCTCAGCATCTGGAACTACACATTTCGGCCTGCGCGCAGGGACCGATCGGCTAGCAGATTCACCTTCGAGGAGTTCATCGGCTATCTTGTAGACGCCGGCTTTGGCTGTCTCTCCTTGCGAAACATGCACATTGCAGGTCCCAGAGATATTTCCGCGGAGCCATCTAATCATCCTGAGCCTTATTCCTCCTCCTATACCGGCATTCGCTTCGAAAACGTTTCCAGAGAGCTTATCTCGGAATGTCTTTCCATCTGCGACCTTCGACAACAAGAGTCGTTCGCCTTCAGATCCTGCGACATACCCCCCATCGACGACTTTTTCGGCTACTTTCTCAAGCTCGAAAACATCCCTCGGTCAACAGATCTTCAAGGGGTACTCAAGTTATGGCAAGGCCGGCAGCTGACCATCGGTTCATCGGCGTGCTTCAATGACTCATTGTTAGCCTGGTTCTCGGATAACCGGCGTTGCGCACAATATCTGGACTCCCTCTTTTTATTCGACTGCGATTCCTTCTCGATGGAGGCCTTGAAAGAGTTTATTGACGCGAGAACGGAAGAATTGGGCGAGGAGGATGGCGAGGACTTGAATGACTTTGATGAGGAGCCTTGCATACGCGAATTACGCGTGCAGGGCGGCGGTCATACCCTTGCAGACGAAGACAGGTTGTGGTTTCAACAACGCGTAAAACGCTTTTCCTTCGAATGATACCTTAATGCCCCCATGTAATCAGGTGTGTGAGAATAAATCTACAATATCAGACGCGAAGTCGCTCTGAGCTTGTTGCCTGATCTAACAGGCGATAGCTGCGACGCGATCGCTCACAGTTCGATCTGAATTTCCGAGGCATAACGAGGTCAGTCAAATATGAGTCGCGCCTCTGTTTCCGACTCTTCTGCCTTGCTGCTGCAATTTGGTATAACCAGCTTCGCGGTGAATCTTCCGCCACTGGGTTTGTATTCTACACCAATTTATGTTGAATTAATGCGGAGAAGGGAGAGAGGCGGGCTGCCCCCCCCCCGGCCCGACCCATCCTTTTCCCAAAAACCCAAACAAGGCCAAATGGTCACGATTAGGTTTCCGCTTCTGCCACACCTCAACAGTATCGAGTTGAAGATTTTCTTCTATTCGCCTCCATCCAATGACAAGCGAGCCAGTTATTCTAGAGGACATTCAAGAAGTGAGTATTTTATAATCGTGATTCCTCCGAAGCTAATGTCTCGTTGCAGTCCGAACTTTCAGGTGAAAATGGCGAGGTCTATCTTTTCCAATGGTTGTCCGCGACGGAGAAGAAGTTGGACGGGATATCGTTAGTGAGTTCAACGCCCTTTCTTTTCTCGCGACCTAAGTTCTCTCCCTCAGAGTGACCTGAAGCCTAGGCAAAACGACTTAGAGAAGACCTACGTCAAGATCATCTCAGCAACGGAATCCTCTCCCCTGCCCGGTCGCGCGATACGAAACCTCGTTGGGAGATCCCTGGTCACGCTGTATACTCGCGGAGAGACACGGACGATGTTCGATACCCTGCAAGCATTCCTTCGACTCGTTGGCGATTTCAAGACACCCGACAGGGATGTCGTCAAGACGTAAGTACCTCAGCGGTGTCAGTGGGCGAGACTCATACGTGGACAGTGCCGCCTTTTCGTGCATCGGAGACTTGATGGGCGTGTTTGGATCCCAGGTATGCTCCCTGTTATCCCGTGCCGACTTGGACTGACAACCCCAGAGGTGATGTCGTTCATGGCCGAGATCAGTATGGTCACTGTCAAGACGTTCAGGTCATCGAGTGTGAGTTGTCCTAGCTTTTATGTCGGGAGAGGATTCATGGGTTCCAGTAGTCGCCTATCCTCCGCTATCATGCCCTCATTGCCTTAGCCAAATCTCTGTCGACGGCGAAACGGGCTGTTCAAGAGTCGACAACCAGAGATATCCTCAAACAGATGAGATCCGGGCTTACCGACAAATCACTTCCTGTTCAACGAGCAGCATCTCGAGTGCGTTTTTCTGTGCAGATCCTTTTATGCTGGTCCCTAACCCTCAGTCAGGTTCTCATCGAGCTATATTCCGGCAGCGATGCCCTGGTCCTCACACCCTCCGAACTCGACTCGATTATCACCTTGTGCGTCAAGAGCCTGGATGGCGCCGACCAAATCACCCGACATTCACATGCTCAACTTGTCGGCCACCTCCTTGCATCCACTCAGATAGAAAGAATCGTTGCACCGCCAGAAACAGTGCCCAAACCCAAGAAGGATGCAACTTCGGAGCAGCAGGACGACGACCTGACCGCAGTGGCGGCTGCAGAGGTGACGAAACCAATGCTGACGCCGAACGAAATGCTTGTCCACCTGTCGACACACTTCAACAAGCCTTATGCATCTCGGAAGACCCGGATTGGGATTTCCGACTTCTATGCTGCCCTCTTCACAAAACTCGGCCCCTCCTTCGTCGAGGCGAATTTCCCCCTTATCGTCAGCCATCTCATCAACGACATCGTCTCGCAGCAACGGAATACATCAAGTCGATACGAGGTTTTGTTGATTAGACGGTTGGTTGGGGTATTGCTACGAGACTTGGTCGGCGTTCGGATGCTGAGCGAGCAAGGGCAGATCGGGGCGATCCAGGAGCTGGCGAACGCGTATTTGAAGCGATGGCCAGCGATGATGCCTGGACAAGTGGCCCCAGGTTCGATTGTGTTGGTTATTGTGTTGAGAGAGGTGGCTGGGTTGTTACAGCAGCTTGGCAATGCACCTCCTCCGGTTCAGGTATGTAAAGTTTCTTCCTAAATATCTTCCTCCAAATTTATCATTGTTCTATAGAACGCCCTAGCAGAACCTCTTGTCACCCTCTTGTCCCACCCAAGTCATACCGTCCGAGTGACCGCCTCCTGGGCTCTACGATGCTTCTGCTACTCAACGCCCCTACGCCTACCGAAGACCATCCTTGTCGTAATGGATAAGCTCCAACGCGACCTTACCACCATCT